ACACACACACACACACACAAACCAACAAATACACGCAACAAACAACAAAAGCTACACACTACACGCACCGCTATGCCCCGTCCAGCCAACTGCTTGAGCTCCCGGAATCCCTTGAGGCGCGCTATGTGCAGTGACTTGGGCACATTCCTCCACAGCTCTACGTCATCTAGGACACCTTCTGGCAGCCTTGACCTGGACGACTGGGAACTGAACACATCCCATAGGGATGATGGCGAGCGCCCTGACATCATTTCGCTGGGGAAAAAAGGGAATATTGATGGGAAAAGTAATAATTATAGCATAACAAGGCATAATCCAGTTTTATTAGGGTTTTTTTTTCTTTATTTATTTCCTTTTTCCTTTCTCTCTTCCCTTCTTCATTTTCTTTCTTTCTTTCATACTTTTTTATTTTCTTCAACATTTATTAACATTATATACCCATCTAAGCTGTTATTGTTGGGTTTTTTTTAGTTTGTTTGAGGGTTTGTGGGTTTGTTTTTGTTTGTTTGGTTGGTTGGAGTTTGTTGTGTGGGGTGGGTATTTTATGGATGAATTATTAATTATTTCATTATCCTTACTTTGTTATTCATTAATTATTCGTTCACTGAAACATGGATTCACTTCTTGTGTTAATAATTCTATCTTTATTAACAATAGTACATGCATGTGTTCTATAACCTTGTTGTATCTGGTGAGAGTGCGAAGACGGTGTTGGTTACTCTGAGCATTTAAGGTACTGCGTTGCACTCCCCTCATATTTCATTTAAGAGGACACAACCTAATTACTTCTCACACACAAATGAATAACCTATCAAAGTGTGAGTTTACTTTCGCAGACTTTAATACTCCAGTTTTCCAGTGTTAACCATATTTGTTTTCTTTTTTAATGGGCTGCATCCTACCACCGCCCCTCCCCCGCCCCCTAATTGTTTATTGCCTGTTCTCCCTGGGATACAATATGTACCTGGAGAGTGTTGGTGACGGAGTTGGGTTGGGTTTTTTTCGTTTTGAGGCAACAAGATCATTGTGAAGTGTAGGCGAATATATCTTTTTAAAGTGTTTTACCATACTAGAAGTTCAGGAAAAAAAGCAAGTTTTGGTATATAAAAAGGTCAAATGTATCGACAGACAATTCTGTTTAAACTAAGTACCCATATACATGTCGTTAACTTTTAGTGAAAGAGACTGACGGGTAGACAACTGAGTTCAGAATTAGACAGACAATGTCATAGATATAGCCAGACAAACCACATTATAGATGTATAAGCTAAGAAACATGCTGACTAGCAGAACGGTAGTTACATGTATTTGAATAAAAACAAAATGTGGTACAAACCACTGACAGGTAGATAGATAGATTGATAGATAGATAGATCTATAGAGCGATAAAGCGATAGAGCGATAGAGTGATATAGCGATAGAGCGATAGATAAAGCGATAGATAGATAAATAGATTTATAAATAGATAGATAGATAGATAGATAGATAGATAGATAGATAGATAGATAGATAGATAGATAGATAGATAGATAGATAGAGAGATAGATAGGTAGATAGATAGGTAGATAGATAGATAGATAGATAGATTTTGAAAAGAGATGTTATTATTTTTAAGGACGAGATTTCCCTTCAGTTTGCCAATATTACCAGCCTTGCAGAAATCCTCACTGCAGGAATCTTTATCTTTGAGAATCTCACGAGCGCTAAATCAACATGACTAATTGCAATGTATGTATACACAGACACTCGATAAACATGGCAGAACACACACGCTGTATTATGTTATCCCTAACACTCCCGCCCCAACATCCCCTCCCCTGGGGCCACCTCGCCCGCGCACACACTTATTTCCCTTTTCCAAGTCATATTCTTAATAGGTTTTCGATTTCGATTTCACGTCTATAACTATAAAATGCAGACCAACGCTCACGAACGCACGTATGCACGCACGCACACACGCATGCACGCACGCACGCATGCATTCACGCACGCACGCACGCACGTACATACACACACACATACACACACACACTCACACACACACACACACACACA